TGATGCCACAGCACTCCACCCAGGGGGACAGTTTGAGGCTCTGTCTCAAAAAAAAAAAAAAAAAGAAAGAAAGAAAGAAAGAAACTCGTGGGATGTGGGAGGCCTGAGGCCTACAGGCACTTTACCTGTGCAGAGCCCAGCCACCCCTACCCTGTTTGCAGCAGGGGACAGAGGATGAGAGGACCCAAGAACAAAACCCCGTCTGTGCCACCAGAGATGGAGATGCTGTGAGTGGGGGCAAGTGGAGGCAAGAGAGGTGATGGGGACTGCCCATACTCAGGCAGAGACAGACTTTTCTGACCTTTGCCTTCTGACCTTTGCCTCTGGCCACTGCCTGAACCAAAACATAGGAAATGCCCCCCTGAGGCAGGATTTCAGGTGGGCTGTTGTGAGTCAACAAAGGCACTCCTCTTCTGGAGTCCTGAGGGTGTGGGTGGCAGTGGAGGGACCAGGGGGCAGGAAGGCCTAGGAGCTGCCTGCTGGCTCCCCCTGGGCAGTGAAACCAGCTTCAGCTCTGCCCTGGGAACTTGAGGGTAAGAGGCCCAAGGGTGGGATGGGGGGTCGGGGCTGAAAAGGAAGGAACAGCATCTAGGGAGCAGGCAGGCAGTGGCTGAAGGGACAGCATCTAGGGAGCAGGCAGGCAGTGGCTGAAGGGACAGCCTCTAGGGAGCAGGCAGGCAGTGGCTGAAGGGACAGCATCTAGGGAGCAGGCAGGCAGTGGTTGGCAGGGGGGAGGAGAAAGGCAGGAGGAGCTGGACTGGGGGGGCTGAGGCCCAGTAGGTGGAAGAGTGGGCTGGACAGCTGGATGAAAGACTAGGGGTGGTGCAGGAACTCTCTCCAGAAGAAGAGGGAAGTAAGGAAAAGTGGAGGAGAGTGCCCATCTGGAAGTCACATTCCCAGGGAGAACTTTCTAAAACGAGGGCAGGATGCTGAGAGGCCAGGAAAGATGAGGCTCCAAAGCATCCATGGGGTTTTGTGATACAGAGCTGGGCTTGGGTGGGGAGGTGATGAGGCAGTGAGGGGCTGGCTGAGGTTCTGCTGGGTCCTGGGCTGCAGGGCGAGGGAGGAGGGAATGTCTTTCTGAGGGTGGCTGGGGCATTCTGGCTCAAGCCTGCTGGTCCTCTGGGAAGGGATGGACAGCAGATGCCAGCGGTGGAGGAACAGTGGCAGGGGTTAGAGCAGGTAGCCAGCTGGGGGCGGGGCGGGGGTGTTGCCTGGGCATACCGGAAGGGGCTCACCAGACCTTGGAATGTGGCACAGAGAGGGCTAAATGGCTTCCCAGGGGGGCAACCTGGCCAAGTCAGTCAGACCTCAAGCTGCCCACACACCTGGGCCTGCAGCCCAGCCACCAGTGGGTCAGCACTGGCACGCGCAGTGTCACCCAGGAGCCGCAGGGGGTAGGTGGGGGTATCAGTCCTTCCTGAACATCTGGGAGGCAATAGACTGGAGGAGCAGAAATAGGAACAAGGAGGGAGAAGGGGGAAGGGGCGTTGAGTCACAACCCCTACCCTCAGCGGGCGACGGTTCCACACACCCCAACGCGTCCCTGCGGTGACCGAGGCCCACGTGACCACCATCAGCCCGGACGGAGGTCCACGGACGAGGGTCCAGGGGTCGGGGCTGCGGGGCAAGGGTCCGCGGGACAGGATCTGAGGGGTAGGAGTTTCGAGACCGGCTCTGCACGTGGAGTCTGCGTGTTGGGGTCGACTGTGCGGGACTCCGAGGGGCGGGGTTTGCGGGGACGTGCTCCGTGGGGCCAGGGCTCTAGCTAAGGTTCCCCGCTGGGAGTCGGCAGGTCCGCCGCGGGGCTGGGAGTGGGGGGGATGCTGCATCCTGGGACGAGCGGGACCCCCGGCTGCCTCCCCGCGGGGCCGCCCCCGCGCCTGTCCCTCCCCCTCCGCTCCGCCGCCCTGCGTAGCCGCCGGAAAGTTTGCGCGCGGCTGGGCAAGCGCGGGCGCGGGCGCGGAGCCGGCGCCGACCCCGACCGGCAGCGCAGCGGAAGCAAGCGGCCAGATCCCAACGCGCCCCGAGGACGGCGGGAGCCAAGCCAGAGCCCAGATCGGCACTGCGTGGTGAGCACCTGGGCTGCGGCCCGAGTGGACGTTCCAATCCAGGAACGGGGAGCGGGGAGCTGGCCGGTGGGGGCCCCAGCGCTGTGCGGATAGGTTCGTGGACCGCAAGTCGCCGTCCTCACCCGGTCCGACACTTTGATTCCCAACCCTGCGATGTCCCCTCCTGGTTTGGAGGATCACCTAGTCCCGCACGTCGGGCAGGCTCAGGGTCTCAGCTCTTCCCCCCATCCTCCTGACCCCTCGGAGGGGGGCGGCCTCGGTAGAACGGTGTCGGTGGCAACCTGACGCTGTCCTGCCGCCACACTCTGCGCGGGACTCGCTGCTCCCTCTGGGACCCCTCCGGCCTCCTTTCCCCGTGGGCGCGCAGGCAGCACCGCGGGTGCACTTCCTGAGGCGCCTGCCCCAGCTCTGACGGGCCCCTACGCCCCAGGACCCTACAGTGGTACCCAAGTTTGCCCGGGCTGGGTGAGGGGCGTCTGCACCCCGCGTAGCCTGCTCTTCCTCCGCGGCCCACACTTGTGACTTTGACCCGCAGCGAGCGCTGGTCACTGCCCTGCCTTGTTCCGCCCTCTCCAGCGCCCCCCACCCTTGGCCGCGGGATTTGCGTCGCGGCCCCTGAACCGGCTGACCCCTGACCTCCCTGCGCCCGCATCCTCTGAGGACCGGTCTGGCCGGGGCTGGGCTGTTTTTCTGTCCTCTTGTGTTAGGGACATGAGGGGTGAGGGGGTCGGAGCACACCCTGGCCCGCATCCCAGGCCTGCCCCGCCCCCTTGGGGGGAGGACCGGGAATCAGGCTTTGTCAACAGACTGTGGCCCCATCCAGGCCCTGGGGCAGTGACCTTCCCTGCCTGCTTTGGTTTCACATAAACAGCCCCCTCCCACCTCAGTAACCCTCAGGGACTCCCCAAAGCATCTGAGAGGCCCCTTCCACACTCAAGCTGAGGGAGCCCCACCCTGCCTGCCTTGGCCAACAAACAGTCCATCCACTTGTCCTAGCGGCCCCTCCCCAGTTTAGGTCTGTGGCCCTGGCTGAACCTCAAGCACCCAAGAGCCATGGGTTCTGCCAGGGTGGCAATGGCACCAGCCAGTAAGTGGCCTCGCTTGCCCCTACGTGTGTGTGCCCTCTGGGCTGGGCATAGAGAGGAGGGTGTGTGGTAGGGACCCCTTGCTGTGGCCACCAAGGGCAATAAGGCAGAAAGAGGCCAGAACAGTGGAGCTGGGAGTGACTCCAGCACATTGGTTGCCTCTTATCCCAGGGTTCCAGTCACCCACCTCAACAAAAATCTATCCTGAGGCTGGGCATGGTGTCTCACACCAGTAATCCCAGCACTCTGGGAGCTTGAGGTGGGAGGATCAGTTAAGCTCAGGAGTTTGAGGTTGATGTCTACTCAGAGTGACAGAGTGAGACTCTATCTCAAAAAAAAAAAAAAAAAGGAAAGAAAATCTATCCCCTGGGTGGGCAGATTGAGCATGGTTATTTCTTCCCTTAGTGTGGCAAAGCCCTCTCCTCAGTGATAGGACTCGGGAGTCTTCAGCCTGGAAGTTGAATTATTTGCGCCAGGTCCCTTTTCTTCTCAGGGTCAGACTTGTGCCCGAGTGCTCCCACAGGGACCCTGGGACCTCAGCCTTTTATTTTATTTTTTTTTTTGAGACAGTGCCTCAAGCTGTCCCCCTGGGTAGAGTGCCATGGCATTACAGCTCACAGCAACCTCCAACTCCTGGGCTCAAGTGAGTCTCCTGCCTCCGCCTCCCAAGTAGCTGGGACCACAGGCGCCCGCCACAATGCCTGGCCATTTTTTGGTTGCAGCCATCATTGTTGTTTGGCGGGTCCGGGCTGGGGATTCGAACCCGCCACCTTAGGTGTACGTGGCTGGCGCCTTAGCCGGTTGAGCTATAGGTGCCGAGCCAGACCTCAGCCTTGCATGCAGCTATAATTCAGTGCCCCAGACCCATCCACCGTTCAGAAAGTGCCTAGAAGTTTCCTTGCCCACACTCACCTGGTGCACACTAGGGACAGGGCTCCCTGCTCCCACCATGCCCCACCTCTTCTGAGGAGGGGCCTGACTTGGAGGGACCTGGGGTGAGGGGTGCCCTGACTCCTGTCCAGCCTGTGGGCACTGGACTCTATGGGAAGCTCCCAGTGCCCTGCTGGGAGGACATAGAGAGTTTCTTCCTCCTCTCTGCCCCTGGGCCCTGCTTCTCTCTGGGGTCCTCAGACTGACTGAGCCCTGCTGGAAGGCAGGCCTTGGTCTGTGTGTCCACCCCATCTCTTCTCCACACTGTTTGCTGGGTTCGGTGAGGCCAGCATCAAAGGTCCCAATTTCCCTGCACTGGCCTAAGCATGCATTCCCCTCAGGCCTGGCTGCAGGCCCCAGGCAGGGGCGGCTTATCAGCAGCATGCCTCCTCTGCATGCCCCTACCTGCATCTGCAATATGCACCCTGTTCTGGCTACCCCTATCCTACTCTTCCTCTCCTGCACCCCTGAACCTGTCTGCCCACGACCTCTCTTCTGGCTCCAGCATCACCCTGGTTGGGGGCCAGCACCCTTACTCTTCCCCTGTGCCAGCCCATGTCCTAAGCTATGAGGGCAGCACAGCAGATGGGGCTGTTTGATCAGAATCAGGAAAGATAAGGTCCCTTGGTTGACCCCAAGGCTGGGACCTAAACTGCTCCTCCCCCCTCACTTGCCTGCTGCCTTCTCTCCTGGAGAGAACCCCCCACTCTGCAGGTCCTTAATTGAAGCTCCAAGCCTGGGTGGTTTCTCCGCTGGGGAGGTCCATGAGCCAGGTGTCTGCTGGGTCACTGGGCTATCTGTGCAGGAGCAGCGCCAGAAAGCCTCCACTCTCCCTGGGTCTCTCCCAGCACTGCCTTCCACCTGGGCAGCCAGCAGTCTGTTCAGCCATCTGGCCACATTTCTGACCCCATTTGAGGGTGCCCAGAAGAAGGACTTATCACATCCCTGCAGGCTCTTGGGGTTCCTAGAGTGCCCTGTAGAGTCACCCTAAAGCTCCTCCCACTTTCCCCATGAGGTTCTATTGGAGCAAAAGACTGTGTGAAAGGCCCCACCCCAGCTGCTGGCTCTGGCCAGGGCCCTGGGGGGCACCTGGACACTCTAGTGCTGGGAGGGGCATGCATGTGATACAGACCATCCTAAGCGTATACTCCACACACCTGGCCCCTGGCACAGCTGTGAACTGGCCTGGCCACCTCAGTCACCATGATACTGGCGGTCCAGTGGTCCCAGCACCACCACTGTCACCCTCAGCATACTGAGTCAGGTCTGCCTGGCAAGCCAGCTTTCCTAGGGGCTAGGAATAGGCAGGGAGGCTGGCCCCCCTCTGTGAGCTTTGGGTAGGTGACCAGGCAGGAGGGTGGCTGCCTCCAGCACAGAGGAGAGGGGCCACCAGACAGACGGCCCTAGGTAGCAGGAGAGCCAACCCCACCCAGAGCAGACATGCAGCCCCTGTGTCCCAAACAGGACTGCCAGCACATGAAGCTGGTCAGGCCCCCTAGCCTCACACTGGCAAAGAGGGACCACTCTGGCGTCTCCTGCTCTCAGCTCTTGCTTTGTCAGGAGGATTCTGCAACTCTGGGCTGGGTCTAGGGCAGCAGGACACCCTGCTGGTCAGGACTCTCCATACTCCACTGCTCTGCCACTCAGCAACCTGTGGAGGAGGACCCACACCCGCGAGGACCCCAGTGCCCCAGACGTGCAGCCCTTGCCAGATGTGGGAGACAGCTGCCTGGAAGCATGTCCCCCACCTGGCCACGACACCGCCATCTACTGCTGCTGCTGCTGCTGCTGGCCTACAGGGTGAGTGCTCCTGCACAGGTGGGCCCTTTGCACACAGCCTGCGCTGACTGGCACTGTCCTGTCTGTCGGCCCCTCTACCTGCCCCCAGCTGCAGGCCACCTCTGCTCAGGTGATGGACTTCCTATTTGAGAAGTGGAAGCTGTACAGCGACCAGTGTTACCACAATCAGAGCCTGCTGCCCCCCCCCACTGGTGAGCCCCCAACAGGGCCTTCCAGCCTCCCAACCCTGTGTTCTCCCCACAGGAGGGCTGTCTCCTCAAAGCAGCCTACAGGGCTGGGAATACCTGTCACTCCCCAGGTCCCATCCCACCTTTACAGGCAACCTTACTGTGGTCACTGAGCACTGAGAGGTCAGAACTTGTACAGCTGGGAAGTGGTGATGGAAAGGGTAGAGCTGCCCCGGCTGGCTGCCCTAGCCTGGGGACTCATCCTTGCCCCCCATGGAGCCCAGAATGAGCAGGCAATTGGTGGGAGACATGGGACCTAGAAGGCTGGCAGTGCACCCAGGCTGGGGAGGGCTCAGGCTAGACCTGGGTATCATGATCTGGACTCTCAGTGTAGAGAGACAGGCAGGGGAACCCCCCCTGCAAGGCCACCAGGCTGAGCAAAGGGAGTTACAGCGTTAGCACTGGAACAAGGACGGATGCCAATAGCATCGGCCTTCAGCCCCCAGAGTGGAGACCCTAGGATGGGTTTGGGATACATTTGCGATAGGTGGTCTCCCTGGAGAGGTGCCCTGGGGGAAGCTGGCACTCAGGGATAGGCTAGGCTGGAGGTAGGGGTGGGCACAGTTGGTCTGGGAAGGCAGATGGCCAGGGGAACCTGGCTCCAGACCTAGGTCAGGAGGGAGCAGCCCTGGCTACAGTCTGAAAGAGGAGATGGGCCACCAGCACCCCAGCTTCCAGAAGGAGAGTTCTTTCAGGCCAGGCCCTGCTAAGGGAGCCCCTCCTCCCACCCCCACCCTGGGCCCTGCCTCTGCAGAGCTGGTCTGTAACAGAACCTTTGACAAGTATTCCTGCTGGCCTGACACGCCCCCTAACACCACAGCCAACATCTCCTGCCCCTGGTACCTGCCTTGGCACCACAAAGGTAACCACAAGGGATGGGGTGGCCAAGGGGCCGGGCCTGGGCTTGGGGCTAACAGAGCCTGTCTGCACCCCCAGTGCAGCACCGCTTTGTGTTCAAGAGATGCGGCCCTGATGGGCAGTGGGTGCAGGGGCCCCGGGGACAGCCGTGGCGCAATGCCTCCCAGTGCCAGCTGGACGATGAGGAACTGGAGGTCCAGGTCAGCCTGTGGCAGGTGTGGGAGCGCTGTGTGGAGGTGCAGGAGGCAGCCTTGCTCTGCCCTGACCAGCCACTATGGTTTGCAGAAGGAGGTGGTCAAGATGTACAGCAGCTTTCAGGGGGTGTACACGGTGGGCTACAGCCTGTCCCTGGGGGCCCTGCTCCTGGCCCTGGCCACCCTGCTGGGCCTCAGGTAGGTGCTACCAGTATACAGATGGCCAGGCAGGGAGGAAGGCAGTGGGGCTGACTCGCTGTCCTTGCAGCAAGCTGCACTGCACCCGGAACTACGTTCACGCGAACTTGTTTGCGTCCTTCATGCTGAAGGCCTGCTCTGTGCTAGTCATTGACCGGCTGATCAAGACCCGCTACAGCCAGAAGATTGGTGACGACCTCAGTGTGAGCATCTGGCTCAGTGATGGGGTGAGCACTCCACCCTTCTCCCAGCCAGGCCTGGCCCTGGTGGGCAGGTGGCAGTGTGACCCTGCTCACGCTGCACCCTGTGCTAGGCAGTGGCTGGCTGCCGGGTGGCCTCTGTGTTCATGCAGTACGGTGTGGTGGCCAACTACTGCTGGCTGCTGGTAGAGGGTGTGCACCTGCACAGCCTGCTGGGTCGTGCCACCCTCCCTGAGAGGAGCCGCTTCACCCTCTACCTGGGCATTGGCTGGGGTAAGTGGGCTGGTGCTGTGGTGGGGGCAGGCTGGCCAGGGCCTTGGGACAACAGCTGCTGCCCTCTGCAGGTGCACCCATGCTGTTTGTCATCCCTTGGGCAGTGGTCAGGTGTCTGTTTGAGAACATCCAGTGAGTATGAACTGAGTGGGGAGAAAGGCCTTGAGGGCAACAGGTGGGGGACTCTGGTCAAAGGCAGCAAGGGGGTGGCAAACGTGGAGCCTGGATGGGGTGATTGGTGACCTTGGGCCTTCCTTTCTGGAGATATTAGGGGATCCTGGAAGAGCCGCTGTGGGGGCTCAGTGCCTGTGGCTCAAGCGGCTAAGGTGCCAGCTACATACACCTGAGCTGGCAGGTTCCAGCTTGAGGCTCTGTCTCAAAAAAAAAGAAAAGAGCCACTGTGGGGTTGAGGGGTGAGTGGACTGTGCCCCAGGGTATGAGTGCCCCCCCCCCACAGGTGCTGGACCAGCAACGACAACATGGGCTTCTGGTGGATCCTGCGCTTCCCTGTCTTCCTGGCTATCCTGGTGAGATCCCCAGGGGAAGGTCTGGCAGGCAGTACACCCAGACTATCTAAGGATAGTCCAGGGACAGACAGCATTCTGCCTGGTCTAAGAGGACGGGGAGGGAGGCTCCAGCACTCAGAACACTGGCCAGCACCCTGGACAGCAGGCCAGGCTGTCCCTCCAGCCCCAAGGCCCATCTGGCTGCCAAGCCCACCTGCAGGAGGGACACATGGGGTCGGCCAGGGACACAGAGCTGGACCCTGGGGCTTGAGAGCTGCCCCAGCCTGTGCCCTCCTCAAACAGATCAATTTCGTCATCTTTGTCCGCATCATTCACCTTCTTGTGGCCAAGCTGCAAGCCCGTCAGATGCACTACACGGACTATAAGTTCCGGTGCGTGAGGGCAGGGGCCAGTGCCTCACACATCTGGGGACCTTGAGGGCCAGAGGGTGGCTGGGGTGTGACACCAAGGCCGGTGTGGGCAGGCACAGGGTGGCTCAGGCCCTGCCCCTGTGCAGGCTGGCCAAGTCCACGCTGACCCTTATCCCCCTGCTGGGGGTCCATGAGGTGGTCTTCGCCTTTGTGACTGATGAGCACGCCCAGGGCACCCTGCGTTCTGCCAAGCTCTTCTTCGACCTCTTCCTCAGCTCCTTCCAGGTGCCTGCCTGCCCCCTACCCTCACCCCTACCCCAGGGCCCAGGGCACTGCCACTGACACACTCTCTCTCTCTCTTTCTAGGGCCTGCTGGTGGCTGTCCTCTACTGTTTCCTCAACAAGGAGGTGAGTGGGGGTCTGAGGCCATCATTTCTGCCCTGATGTTGGGGTCAGAGAGTGTGAGGATGCCCAGCCCACCCCAACTGGGGTCAAGCTCAGGCCACTCCTGTCCCTTCTGCCTGCATGTTCTGAGCACAGTTGCCACAGCACTGGGTGTCAGTGTCCCCAAGATGTGTCAGCGCTGTCCTCAGAGTTCACAGTGGTGGGGTGGGGGCATCCCCACATCTGGTGATGGGGAAAGCACTACTGTGCCTAGCTTGCAGCTTTCATGGTTCTGAGGAACACCACAGAGGGACCTGGGGAGGCCAGGGCAGGCCAGAGAGGCCCAGGGACTGGCCCTACCCTCCACATATCCCCAGGTGCAGTCGGAGCTACGGCGGTACTGGCGCCGCTGGCTCCTGGGCAAAGCGCTGCGGCAGGAGCTGCGCACCAGCAGCCACGTGGCCTCAACCGGGCCCAGCCACGGCATCCCTTGTGAGAAGCTGCAGCTCGTAAGGGGAGGTAGCAGCAATGGGGCTGGCCAGAACCCCTCTGCAGAGCCCCCTTTGGCTGGTGGCCTCCCTGGGTTGGCTGAAAGCCCTTCTGTATCCCTGGCTGGGGCTGGACTCAGATTCCCAGAGAGGGCATCACTAGACAGCCCAGAACTGGACACACTGCCGAGGCTGGAGGACCCTGCTGTCCATCTCTCCCACAGTGTGGTGGTCTGTGGTGGGAGCTGCCCCTCCCCACACTTGCCCTGTCCCTGAGGGCAGCATTTGGGGTTGGGAAGCTGTGCAGTAAACTGCATGCCTATGGCCCCAAGTGTTGGCATGTCCCATGTGTGTGCCCTCCTACAATAAAGAGCAAGTAATGGCCATAGTACTCATCTGGGAGAGTGGGGCTGGGGATGGCCTGGGGAGCGTGGGTGGTGTCAGAGGGAGCATTTGCTTCCCAGAGAGTTGGAGTTGGATCCCCAGTGGGTTTCTGGGGTGGCCAACAGCACCTGTCTCTGCTTGAGCCGGTTCTAGCCACCTGGTTCAGGTGGTGGTCCTCCAGGACCTTTGCCCCTAGCCCCCAGAGAATCACTATTTGCAGAGAGATATGAAAGGGCACAGAGAAGGCACGAACATCACAGTCCTCCTGCCAACCCCCAGGAACACCAGATGTACCTAGAGGGTGTCTCTAGAAGCCTTATCCCTGGAAGTAGCCAGGAATGTGATGCATGGCTCAAAGGACAGCCCTCCGTCCCAGCTCCAGCCACCCTGGCAGTTTGCAGGCCACATAGCAGGTTGAAGCACCAAGAATGGATTCCAAAAACTGCAGCACAGCCCCTCCATCTGTATAGCCCCCAGTACATAGCAAAGGGGCCCTGCCCTATCCACTGTGGGCTGGCAGCGCCAGGCAGGAGTGGTGGCACCAGCCTGCAAGGAGCTGCCTCCTAAGTGTTGGACCCAGGAAGAGCCAGGGGTGCTTTGGGGTGGCTGCCCTAATTATCTGGGGTATAGCATATCTGATGCAGGTGTTAAGTCCTGGGCTTAGACATGCCTCTGAGGACCAGGCAGGGGTAGGGACAAGTCCAGGAGCAAAGCCCAAAGCTACCCCTCTAGGTGGTCCCTGTGGCAGGTGCTGTGACACCTACCTGGTGGAGGTACATGGGGTGAGGGGCTAAGAAGGAACCCACCAGGTGTCCCCTCTCAGAGGAGCTAGTGGGAGGTAACCAATCCCTGGGCTCTGGGAGGAGGATGCCCACAGACCCTTAGCCATGTTGGCTGGAGCCACTCAGGCACAGCCAGGCTAATTGGAGCAAATGAGAGGACATGAAGCCTCTCAGGAAAGGTAAATAGAATTACTCACCAGGTGCTGGGGCCCTCTTGGGGAGCCCCCACCCTGCTGCCCACTGCAGGGCCTGTGCATAGCAGGGAGGAGAGAGGGGACAGGCGGGAGGCCTGTGAGACAAGGCTGGGCCCTTCTGGGTTGCCAGGGTTCCTGTGATTGGGGGACTACAGGCCAGGAGACAGTCCAGCCAGCTGTACCTGCTGGAGGCCCCAGGCCCCTGACTTTGAGGCTTGGGTCAACTCTTGTCCCAGGCCCTAGCTTCTGGGTCTCCAAGCTCTGGATGCCCAGATGCCTATGTGGGCACGGGCTGCTCTGAGTTAGCAGAGGAGAATGTAAATTCTCCTTCACGCCAGCTGAGCTCAGGGTTGGTGACTGCCCCAAGGTATGCCACTCACCTGAGGCCTCCTGACAGCCCTCCCCATCTTGAGTCCCTCTGCCCTTGTCCTCCCCCCGCTCCTGGGAACTGGAGCAGGCTGGTGTAGTCAGGGGTGGTGCTGGGGCTCGGCAGGGGCTGGACTCAGCCAGCCAATAGCGCTGGCCCTACCCAGGCCTGCAGGTGAGTAGAGGAGCTACTTTCTAAGGCAGCCCACACAGAATCCTCCCCAACACTCAGATCTCTGTCCCTTCCCTATTGTGACCTTCCTCCCACCTCTACTTCAGGCCTGATCTTCTGACCCTTTCCCCTAAAGGACCTCGTGGGTTCTGCCTAGCAGTGTGTGTGTGCCCTGAGGGGAGGATGGCCTGCACGTAATTATGGAAGATGGGAAATGCACACCCACGTGCGGTAGATGGAGTGTGTGTGAACATCCAGTGCAAAAGAGTGGTGCGTGAATGGCTGGGATTGAGATGACTTCTGTGACACACATACTACTTATTAAAATAAGGGTGGAGACTAAGAGAAAAGAAGATGGGGACTACAACATCCAGCAACACTCTGACTTCAGAGAGCCCAAAGCTGGACCATTGGGTAGGAACCTAGGCAGGCAGAAGGTTCAGGAGAGGTCCCCTTAGGGGATAAAGGTGACTAGACACAGTGGAGATTTGGGTAACCTGGTGGAGAGCTTAAGACTTAATTAGTGGCTAGTACATAAAAAAACTAAGCAAGTGGCTCGGCACCTGTGGCTCAAGCGGCTAAGGTACCAGCCACATACACCTGAGCTGGCAGGTTTGAATCCAGCCTGGGCCTGCCAAATGACAATGACGGCTACAACCAAAAAATAGCCAGACATTGTGGCAGGCACATGTAGTCCCAGCTATTTGAGAGGCAGAGGCAGGAGAATCACTTGAGCCCAGGGAGCTGGAGGTTGCTGTGAGCTGTGATGCCACAGTCTACCCAGGGCGACAGCTTGAGGCTTTGTCTCAAAACAAAACAAAACAAAACAAAACTAAGCAAGTGAAAAAAGCAGGCAATTAACTCCAAAGAAAACAAAAAGTTGGGCAGAAAAGACAATGACAGGACTTAGTTCTAAATACAAAGACACACGAACACTCAATGTGACCAAACTCATAGGAGAAAACAGGACTATGGGGAGCAGAGGACAGTGGACAGGGACAGGTGTGTGTGTGTGTGTGTAGGGGGATAGGGGATTAAATGAGAAAATCAAGAATTTACAACTCATGTTATTTAGAAATAAAAACTCAAACCAAAGAATCAGCTGTGTAATTGAAAGCAACTGCCTCTAGGCAAAATGGATGGGAAAAGCTGGGGGCTGCCGGGTCACTCAGAGCTGGCTTAGCCCCCTGGACACAGTGGCCACCCTGTACCCCAGGACCTGCCCTCGCCTGCTCCTCCTCTGACCCTGCTCACCGTGGCTCTGGGTCTTCCTGCTTTCTCATCCTCTGCTGCTGTGGCCAGAAATCAGGCCCACCCTACTCCCAGCTTTATCTTTTCTTTTCTTTTTTTTTTTTTGAGACAGAGTCTAAAGCTGTCGCCTTGGGTAGAGTGCTATGGTGTCATGGCTCACAGCAACCTCCAACTCTTAGGCTCAAATGATCATCTTGCCTCAGTTTTTTCTATTTTAGTGGAGATGGGGTCTTTCTTTTGCTCAGGCTGGTCTCAAACTTGTGAGGTCAAACTATCCACCCGCCTCAGCCTCCCATAGTGCTAGGAATACAGGTGTGAGCCACTATGCCAGCCAGCTTTATCATTCTTTTCTTTTCTTTTTTGAGACAAGAGTCTAATTTTGTCACCCTCGGTAGAGTTCCATGGTGTCATAGTTCACAGCAACCCTAAACTCTTGGTCTCAAGTGATTCTTGCCTCAGCCTCCCAAGTACCAGGACTACAGGCGCCTGCCACAATACCTGGCTGTTTTTTTTGTTTTTTTGAGACAGAGCCTCAAGCTGTCCCCCTGGGTAGAGTGCCATGGCATCACAGCTCACAGCAACCCCCAACTCCTGGGCTCAAGCGAGTCTCCTGCCTCAGCCTCCCAAGTAGCTGGGACCACAGGCACCCACCATAACACCTGGCTATTTTTTGGTTGCAGCCATTATTGTTTTGGCGGGCCTGGGCTGGATTCGAACCCACCACCTTAGGGGTATGTGGCTGGCAACTTAGCCACTTGAGCCACAGGCACTAAGCCAATACCCGGCTATTTTTAAGAGATGGGGTCTCGCTCTTACTCAGGCTGGTCTCAAAACCACAAACTCAGGCAATCTGCCTATCTTGACCTCCCAGAGTGCTAGGATTACAGGCATGAGCCACTGAACCCAGCCAGTTTTATCAATCTTTTTTTTTTTT